GTTCTCTCCTTTCACTGTATGGGTTCTGAGTATTGAACTTGGGTACTTATCAGGCTTGACAACAGGTGCCTTTACCAGCTGAGATATCTCACTTGCTTGTCAATCACTTTAGTTAAACAGTGTTTGGGAATGTCTACATAAACTTCAACTGAGTTCCTTTATTATGCTAAACACTGTAAGGATTCAATTGTTCCCCAAGTTCAAGGAGGCAGATAGATGAGCAGGTGACTGTTGGTAGTATAAGTGGCATCACTTACAAGCTGTTCCAGAAGTATAGTAGAAACATGTTCCACACTGATGGCACTCTCTGAGTGGTTAATTAGAGAAAGCCTTTTAAAGTGACTATTTACCAAGGTGTGGGCAAGCTCAGGTAAACACAATTATCTAATATGTTGGAAGTCATTACACATCCAGGTCTCACTGAACAATGGAGGACAAAAATCTCTGAACTGTGGAACAGAAAGGAGAAATCTCCTGAGCAGAAACTGTGTTCTTCATTTCACTGGTACAGCCAGTTCACAGAAGTCCCAGGAGACCCTGAATTCCTCTCCTACCCAACTCTGACCTTCTGCTACCACGTGCATCAGCCAAGCACAAGCAGAAGGCAAAGCGCAAAAAGATCTATTGATGAAGTTGATTCAAGATCACATCCTAGACTGTGGAATAGAGTTGTGAAGAATCGAGAATTAATGAATCAATGCCAAAAATAAGAATTCAATGGAGAAGGTTTTGGTGGCAAGAGAGGGAGCTATGGTATGAAGGGTTGAGTGAAAATGCATTTATTGTCAGATGAGGAGAAACACCATTCTGTAGACGTTCTAACAGTCTGTGCTGACTGGAAAGTATTAGCTCCTCTGAGCATGAACTTTCCTGCTGTGAGATAATAGTGAAACAACTTTACAGTTACAGAGTGGCCTCAGAATCTTGAAACTGACTACATATCTGTACACACCAGCAGACACATTCTGTTAATCTTTAGATTGTAAGACCTTCCCCACAAATGGAAACCTTCATTCAGATCTAAGGTGCAAATTAATTAGACGTGATGTTATCTTTGTGGTACAATATGAAATCACAAAATGATAGACTATTAGATAAATTGGTAATAAATACTGTGATTTGAGACTCTTTAGTCAGTGATGGTTAAGGGTAGATAGTATGTTTTAAGTTTCTAACTCAAATTATTTCAAGGGTATAATGGGTCCACTTCTCTTGATGAGAAATTATTTATTTGTTATACTGCAGACAGAGCAGCTGAGTCACATATATTGCACCCTAGCCTACTTAGAGAAGGGATGTATATGGAAACAGTGGTTTCTAATCTTTAAAAAGATACAATTGTCCTCAGAACTTCCAAGTACAAAATAAGACAAAGGTAAGAATAGGTTCTCTGGAAGTTTAGTTTTCATTGCTCAGAAGTTGCTCTGTGAAATCTGAAACAGAATTGTGGTTTCTGGCTTGTCCTCAGCAATAGTTTAGAAATTATTAAGATCAAGAACAGGGGAGTATAAGAACAAACAGAATTGCTGGGTTTAAAAAAGGGAAATTTCTGTCAGTGAAGTGTTATAAAAGTAGGAAAATATCTTAAGGGAGATAGAAGTTCATCCATTGATTTTACTGAGGACTGGCACATAGGGTGACAATACATGAAACCTCTTCACAGTTTCTATGAAGTGGCTTAAAAGTGCCATGTACATAACTCACCATTAGGAGGCTGGGGAGGTAAATGAATAATTATTGCATAAATAGTAAAAGAGAAATATTAAGATGAATCTCTATATAAATTTTCAGATATATATATTACAGATATAGTGATGGAGGATGTCCTTCTGTATGCTGTGAATATATGTTTCTCTTATTGGTTGATTTGGTTGATGCATAAAGCTGTTTTGGCCAATGGACAGGCAGGATGTGGCCAGAAAAGAAGTATTGGCAGAGCTAGCAGACGACAAGTCTGGGAAGAGGAAAATAGAGAGTGAGTCACCAGGGAGACGCCATGTAGCTGCCAAAGAAGTAACATGCCAGAGCATTATGGGTAAGACACAGCCTCTTGGCAATACATAGCTTAATAGAAATGGATTAATAATTAAGAGAGAGCTAAACAATAAGTAGCCTGAGCCATCAGCCAAACAGTTTATAACTAGTATTAGCCTCTGTGTGTATATTTGGGACAAAAGGGCTATGAGACCAGGCAGGACAGGACAGAAACATCAGTCTACATACAGATTATATAGATGTAGATGGGATAAAGATATCTTATATAGTCCATATTCTAAAAGAGTCCCTAAAACTCTAAGAAGATAGTCTCAGCTTCAATTTACTTTTCTTAGACCATGGCACTGCTGTTGGAAGATGTACAGTGCTGGTTTCTAGAGAAGGGATGAGCTGAAATAAATTTAGGAGAAGTCATAACTCAGTGAGTAGACACATCTGGACATGTGAGCACCAGTGACATGAGATGCCGTGAATGAAGCGGTCAAGGCAAAAGTAACACAGGAGCAGGTGCTCTGTGCACTGGAAGAAGCAGAGAGTGTGTAAGACTAGCTTCGGTCATTGTGCACAGGCTAGATTGCCTGCTGATGAGGGGAGCTCTCTAATCTCTAGTTATGAGATTTTGTTTCCTTGCAATGCTGGGAATGGAACCCACGGCCTTTCCTATATTAGGCAAATGTATATCTGAGCTATATTACCAGCTTGCCATACACTTGAGTTGAGGTGGAGCTGCTTTTACCCCAAGACTGAAAGACATTTTAGGGACAGTAATCTTTGCCTTCAGTCACTTGCTTTCTCCAGCTTCCTGGCAGTGATGTGAAAATCAACCTAAATCATAACATGACCTCACCTGCCAATTCTGAAGAGCATTCTGTACTGCCCTTGGCTGCCCTCGTGCATGTCAGACTTCTTGTGTAGGGCTCAAAGGCTTCATCATCTGCCACCAAGCCACATATCCAGTCTATCTGTGACACCTCCATTCTGAATTTATCATCTTTCTCCCTGGTCCCAGTACTCAATCCATATTCTTCCTACTTACTTCACTGTGCCATGTGGTTCTTTTTCTCTCATTATACAAGATTCTAGCTTTCTTAAGGGCATTTTTTATATTTGGTCATATTCCTCCCCCATGTGCTCTTCCCCAAGTCATCCCACCTACCCTACTCCCATTAGTCCCCTTGATTGCCATAGACAATTTTGCTTCTGCTTTCACATCACATGTGCATACATGGTTTATGTACTTAATGGCATATTCTGTTCGCATGTAGTGTTTATACCATGTTCTTTAATTTTGAAGTTTCTCATCATCTCTATAAAGTTCCTTTCCCTTTTTGCTCAGTATCCAACTATTCTTCAAGTCCTGCTTCAGAGGACTTTCTGCACAAATTCTTCTCAGCTCTTCCTCCTTTGTTCCCCCTTCCTTTACTTATCTTACTACTTTACTTCTGTGACAGTCTGTCATGATACTTATTTTCCTCTATGACATCCATCATGGGTGGGAGTTCATAGTCCCCAGTCTTAGTTTTTGCTAAATTCTATCCTAAGCCAAGTTACTTAACATTTTTGAGCCTCAAAGTATTGATCTAAGTGTTCAACATTAAGAGGATACTAAGCAAATAGTTATTGATGGGATGAATGAAGAAAACATAAACTGAGACAGTATAATATGAGACAGCATGGTAAGTCTGGAAGAACGTCTTTTCTTTCCAAAGATATTTATTCGTGTGTGTGTGTGTGTGTGTGTGTGTGTGTGTGTGTGTGTGTGTGTGTGTGTGTGTACTCAGGGCAGAGAAGTCATTGTCTCTGGATCTAGAGACAATGAGACTCACTTATTCTTGCTTTGAGCTATTGAATAAAAATTCCAAATCTGGAGTGATGGGTCAGTAGGCAAATGTGCTTGCAGTGCACATGTGAGGCCCTAAGTTAGAATCTTCAGGACCCACTTTACAGTCAGATCTGGATCTAGAACAAATGTAATCCCAGGGAGATGAGAGGCAGAAATGGGAGAATTTCTGTGAAACTTGTGGCCTAGCTAGACTGATAAAGGTAGAAGAAATATAAGCCCTGTCCCAAGCAAAGTGGACAACAAGAACCAAGATGAGTTTGTCATCTGTCCTCCACACGCAGCATGTATCCATATCGACACACGACACACACACACACACACACACACACACACACACACAAACACACACACATGTATACACAGAGACAAGACAAATAAATGAAACAATAATCTATCTAGGTGTCTTTTACTGAACTTGTGGCATTCTGCCAATCAGGGGACAAACATATACACTTGGAGAAGGAACATTGGCAGAGTCACACAATCTAACTGACTACCCGGGATTTCTCCATGGGGATAGAACTTTGTTTCTATATAAAGTCTTTCAGGCTTGTTTCCTTCCACATCCAGTATCCAGTACTATGGAGGCTTCATTGCTGTTCTTTAAACTCCCTGCTATCAGACAAGGCAGCAAGTTTGGCTTTGAAGTCCCAGGAAGCCATGTTGTCAGTTACCTGGGGACCCCATGGAAGTACACCTGAGAGCAGGCATTAGAGACATGGGGATCAGAGGCCACTTCAAAAGCAGCAGGGGCTATTCAGATTCTCTTATTTAAAGGGATTCTGGTGCCAGGAGATGGTGTGCTGTATTCTTCTTTGCTACCTGCTTGAAATGCATTTGTGGTTTAAGCATTCCGAATCCTCATTTGAAATCTCCCGTTTCAGAGAGAAAACTGTTTCTGTTCTCACACAGCATAGCAGCATTTCCCAAAGAGCTATAGAGCATGCCACTGTACCAAGTCTAGCATTTCAGGGGTGGGTTTAGGAGTAGAGAAGGATGGAAGAGAAGAAGGTGGCTTCTCTGCTTCTGCTATGATACAATGATTACCTCGGTGTTGAACTCAGGCTCCCGTGTGTCCTGAAGGGTTAGTGGACATTAAGCGTATATTTGCAGATAGATATGCTGGTTGAAATAACTGCTTCCCCATCCTGTGAGAAAAACCTCCTCCCTTTCCAAGGAGCAAGATTTAGTTGTGGCCACCCTGCCCTGGAGTTTCTCACACAAATGAATTTGGCAACTAAGAAAAGAGACAGGAGGGGGAAAAAAGGAGGAACTCCTGGCTGAGCTTCACTCTGTAAGAAGTGATAAGCAGGGGATGGGAAGGCTTATTAAACTAGAGCATTAAGTTGCAGGTCCAGGAAAACTGAAGACAGCATAATGCACAGTAAGTAGCCTCTCCTTAGAAGACCTTTAAGGACATGGGGGAGGGGGGCTAATCTGTCCCTACGGCTCAATTTTCCTTTCCTTCCTAGAAGTAGAATTCTGTCTTTCTGGGGTTCATGTGATATCTGTATTGTTGTTTCGACTACTATGGCACACGGGTAGATGACAGTGTTCTTTTGGTTTAAAAAGACTGAAAACTGACATGAAGTCTCCTTATTTTTGGATGAGATATGGAGGAAATAACTCCACAGATCCCTCGCACTTGAATTAGACTTCTCAGTTGGAAAAACAAGAGCAGCACAAACAGCCACATTCCCTCCCTGCTTTATTTGCATTGTGGTGCTGTATTCTGTTTCAGAATCAGAAGGGACATGTTTCGCCCAACAGAAATCAAAACACGCTGGGTTAAAAGGAAACAATAGTCATGATTCAGCTCCTACTTTCTATGTAAAAGTTAGACCATATGATAATGTAGTTGTGCTGCATATTCAATTTTGATGTGTAACCTTTGAAATAAATTGGAATATTCTCTCCTTCTACTCTTGGCACGCACTGAGTGATCATAAACAATAATCGCCTAAAGGTCATTCGCTCCATAAGATATGCTTGTCACATGAAGTAAGAAGGATGACTAAAAGATGTGTTTTTCCTTTTTCAGAGACATGCAATTCATTCTTTTTTTCCCTTTTTTCTTTTTTCTTCAAAGCACCAAATAACACACATTTACTTATACATTGTAGATGCCATGAATTTCTGGAAGCTTATTGTTTTTCTATTTGTCTTACATTTTATATAAATTGGCTGATGGGAAGTTGGTAAAGTTTTCTTGAGTATTTGGGAAGGGAGTTCCAGCAAAGACTATTTGCCTATTTCAAAGCAAGTGATTTGGTATGAGCTCCCCTCTCTCCAAATTATTTTATATGAGTAGAATGGTAAAAAGAAGTAAGCAGACTTATTTCACATCTTTTCTCGTACAGAACTTGTTCACTTACAAAATATATTTCGGGAACCTTTTAACAAATCCCAAGGGAGCTTAATGCTGACTAGCTGCAGTAACTTCAGCTCCTCATACAAAAGCAAGAAACTGTGGTTTGTAAAAATTGAGCTCCAGTACTGTCAGTTTTGTTTCTTCTACTTTCAAGAAAAACAGACCAATCAATGCTACGGTACCTACTGATATGTTAGTATAAGTCAATTCCATCTGCTGACAAATAATATAGGCTACTAATCCCCTCACATGGCAGCAACTCAGGCTAGGACTCTCTTGACACATGCCTAGCTATGAGGGTCAGACCTGTGCTTTGTGGACAGTTGTAATACAGTCTGAATGTGTGTGGAAGGGACAGTCAAGACAGCAGTCCACGTACGACCTAGTGGGGAAGGTTCGCCTGTACTGCCAACGGGAAGCCCACACCTTTCAAGTCTCTGCATACTTTAGTTTAAGAATGATCATGGGATATTTTTGAGATGAAACTCATAAATGAAAATTCTTGTCATTTTTTATTCCCCACATTTTTCTGAAAATTGATTTTAAACCATTCAAAATCTCATTGATCGTCTTCCTTCGTGGCATGCCAGATTCTATTTTGATTCTTCAAGTCCTCATAATTGAAGGATGTTTCTTGGGTGTTGAAAGGTCAGCTAAGCAATTCTTGCTACTTCTACTATCATATTAGACATACCCTAAATATTAATTCCACTTCTAAAAATGTGGACAAAGTTATTATTTATCAGTTAGGGAGATCATGAGAAGGTTTTCTTGATTTTGTGACATTAGAATAGAGTTATGAAGCAGGAGTTGACATCAGGTGGGTAAAGTCAGTTGTTACATGCAAATGGGATGAAGTAGTGAGTGAGAGCTTTCCCTTTATGATATTTTTTATCATACATTCTTCAAATATAACATTATCCTCATCATCATCGTTACTATTGATGGCTAGGGATTGAACCCAGGATCTTCCATATGGTAAGCAAGTACTCTATTCCTAGATTATATCCCCAGCCCCTGACATTATCCTCAGCTGGTAAAGTGATTTTCTAGAGGACTTTAGATACTTAGGTGTTGTTTTTGTAATTCATGTTTAAATGTGTATTCTTACTATGGAGGAAACGCTAATATTAGCTAGAACACAGAGTGTTTAAAATTTAAAAAGAATCAGTAGTGGGCTTGGATAAATCTGGCAAGTGATGTTGAACTATGGCTCTCATTGTTTGTCCATCCACCTGTCAGTTGGTGAAAAGACAGAACGTGAATTCAACTGGCCTCTAGCCGGACATGATTTCGGGGGGGGGTGAGCAGCAATGGCTTCTTGTTGGAGCTGTTTCCCACTGAACTGCTTTCTTGGCTAATAAATTAAAACCGGACACAGTCAGAATCCTCACTTTACGTTCATGGATATAAAGGGGCAGTTATATCTCCTATGAACAATTTTTTTAAGAATAACATGTAAGTAGGTAGAAAATGCAGTGTGAAAAGCCAAGATAATCCACTTTAATGTTAAAGATGAACAAACATAGGCAAATATCTTTTGGACAAATCATTGTATTAATGTTATATGCAGGTGGACTGAGTTAAAATTCAGAACTGAATACACTTTAGGAGCTGAAAATACAATTTTCAGCAAATGTGCTTATTTATTTATTTTCCCTTCCCTTTCCTTCTTTGTTAAGCCACGTTACTTGTCTAGCACCTATAGAAATGCATCCAGAAGATGTGACTGGATTTTATGAGTCCTGAAAGAATTTGCATTTATTTTTGTCAAGAGGCTAACTGAAAGCAGGGAGCTTTCTGTGAAATATTCTAATTAATCCAACTCACCATATTTTGTATTCTGAAAATCCCATCAACTCAAATTCAGCTCTTATTTTAAGAAAAAAGGAAAAGAGCAGAAGAGTCCCTGAGGACGAAGGAGGGAGGAATTAAAATGAAAAGGAAGGGAATGGAACAAAAGGGGGCGAGCCAAATGGGCATATTCTGCATAAGCATCTCCTTCTCCAGCACTCCTTCCAGGGACCCCTGACCTCTGCCTTACTGGAGAGCAGATCCTGCTGCCAGAGTACAAAATACTCATCCTGATAACCTAGAAACTTTTATCAAGTCGTCTTCAACTCAGCCAACTTGTGAGCCAGTATCTGCAACCCCTAGCCCCAGTGGCCACGCCCCCTCCACCTCTCATAACTGCCCCCTATCCGAAGGCTGCTCACTGTGGGTTTCTCTACTTGTAAGGGGTATCATTTGCGTCTCAGTAACACAGGCTAGGCCGGCCCATTTGCTAAGACTCTCCACTTGAGAATGTATTGGACAGTCTCTTCCCATGTGTCAGTGTACAGATTAATACTGTAGACATTCATTTCAATTAGCACGCAGCCAGAATGCCAGTTTGGCTGCTTGGAGCAATCAGATTAGAGATGAAGGCACACCTGCCCTTATGTACACTGTATTTAAAAACATATCTTGTAGAGTTTTCTGAATATCTTATCAATCCAAAGGTATGTGTCTACACCATATCCTAAAGTCATCAGCCACATACAGTACATTCTTCCAGTCACTAAAAAAATGTGCTTTTCTTTGCATGTATTTGTGTGTGTGCGTGTGTGTGTGTGTGTGTGTGTGTGTGTGTGTGTGTGTGTGGTGTGTATGTATGCATTCATGAGCTCATGACTATGAATGCCAGGTGCTGATGCTGTGTGTCTCCCCTCATTGTTCTTCCCTTATTATTACAAGGCAGGACTTTTGCTTGCATCTATAACTGACCTATTCTAGAAAGTCTAGCTGGCCAGCTTGCCCCAGAATCCAGAATACCCTGTCTCTACCACTCAAACTCTTGAATGACAGTCTGGGTCCCAAGTCTGCTTGACTTTTATGTAAGTGTATGGGATTTGAATTCTAGTTTTCATGCTTCCAAGGCAACTGCTTTAATAATTGAGCCATCTCTCTAAATCCCAATCTCACTTCAAGTAGTCTTGAAGTGCTATACTTTCTATGGAGGTTTCTCAACAAGTGTGCATTTACATCACACAGATAACTTTGAAACGGGAAGCAACTTCCCACTTTTGCAGTGGAATAAGCCAGATACAATATGAACAATATTCCTGGAGGTTGCAAAGGAGAGGCAGGACACAGTGCATGTGGGTGTTTTCCTTTGTGCATTTAAAATATTAAAACTTTCATCGTTTGAAAATTAAGCTTGCCTACAAAAAGAAATCTGAAAAAATGCACCCTTAAAAGTAAAACCCAAAATGCCTTCTCTTGTAATTTATTTTAAGTTACATGACAAACTTTTAAAAATATTATGCAGGTTAATTGCAGGAAGACTTCAGTTGCCTTAAAGTTGTCTTTGAGAATTTATTAAATCTATGTAAGTACACAATCTTGGGAGGGAACTAGAAGAATGACTGTCTTTCAGCTTGATCTGGATGACAGTATTTGAGTAGCATCATTTATGAATCGCAATCGATATGTTTCGCAGAAGTGAGATTTTGAACACCTTAGGGTTCATAAAAGACCATTTTTACTAGGCATTTCTATGAATAGATTATGTTCTTTTAAATTCTCTAGAATTGAGGATGTTAGAATTAAACTTTTTTAGTTTGTTAATAACTGTGCAGCAGTCAGATTCCAGTCATTTATAACTAAATAGTAAACCTGTCAGCTTAGAATGAGAATGGGGCTCTCAAATAAGACATTTGTGCTGTTAGAACAGGATATAGATTGGTCTTATATTTTTTCTTTAATCTGTCTAAATCAATTAGATGTTTGAATTGTGGTTTTGCATTTCCAGGAAGCTTCATTGCTTTCTATTATCCTCATGACAAAAATAAACAATTCCTTTAGAAATCATAAAGAAAAATGCCTCCCATTGAGTTGATGTTTTATGCTGTTATATGGAAGAACATATGTGTAATAAAAATGAGAAATCATGGATCAAAAAATGATGTTGGAGTCACTTACATAAACAATAGAGAACATTTTGGATGATCTCCAAATATCATTGCTATTGT